GCTCGGTAAACGGAGATAACGCGATACCGGATATATCTCTCGGGACTTGCTATACACGCCAATGCCCGAGAAACTCCCGTTCCGTTTGCGGAACTCTTTTTCTTTCACTCAACGTGAGTAGGTCGCGCGCAAGGTCGCGCGGTGATCTTGCCCGTGTATGGCAATGATGGGCAATGCAGCTGCATCTCCGCGATATCGGTATCTGGATACAGGAGCTAAAATTACGTTTAATCGAAATTACTCGGAAAATTTTCCGGAAAAAAAATTGCCCCGAGAATTCTGATAGCAATTAAGCACTTTCTCGAACACGACAGCTGATTTCTAACGGGTTAGCAATTATTCTAAACCAAGAAAAAGAAGGAAATGTTAAATAATATTTAAAGAAAAATGTTTGTTGAAAAGATATTGAATTTGATGTGGATTTGGATTAATAAATAAGTTGTTTGTGTGTGATAGATTCTGTACCACTTTTGATAAAATTTATACAAATTGAAATATTGGCTCGAGACGTTAATTGATATACAGATAAGCGTATATATATTATTAGAGTTTTATGCAGCAAATATGATTTTTCTTCGTACGCGCACGTGACTCGTCCCATTGTTATTTCCATTCTGTTTTTCTCTTCTAGGAAATAATAATAACCTCGTTTTACACGCGCGTTGCACTTTTTTGTCATAAATCAAACGGCATATCGTCGCGGGTGATTTTTTAAAAAGGATTCTGGACAAATTGTACAATAAACTGCACCTGCATTTGTGGCTATAGCAATATATTCTAATTCATTGCTCAAAAACCGAGATATCGTGGCTAATCCTCGCGAAATGCAACAACGTTTGTCTCTTAGTATTTATTCCGAGTCTTGGAACGTGGGAAGTGAGTCGGATAAAGACGCACGTACGAAGCGAAATGTGATCTATTGGAGCAGCTTAACGTGAACGTGCGAAAGAAAACATTCAATGATATAAATAGCATTATCATTGAGTTGCGTCCATGCACGCGCATTGCAGGATGAATGCGCATTCGTTTCATATAAATAATAGTTCACACTTCTTAGTTACTTTGAAATAACAATTACCGAGGTATATAAGGCGAATACATGGAAAGTATTCATATAAAAATATTTATACCGTCACGTTGTCAATATTCTTTGTTTCTCAACAGACATTTTCTTAGGGAAATATCGTCGCTTTACAATCCTGTGGAAATAAAATTATTAATGAGATTCAACAGAAACGCGTTATTCTGACGAAAGTAGTTCACGCGTGTTTCCTTCTTTTTTTTTTCTTTTCTTTACAACGATGTAACGGGAAGGCGTTCGAGAGTACGGGCTTGTTCAGAGGTAAACAAGGCGAAAATGAGTGTACTTCCGTGAAATCTAGATTGCAGGTGGCATGCGTGATTTTCGCGAAAATGCATTGGTCTCTTTCCCGTAAGGAAGAAACTCAGAGAATCCACATAATCATTTATTTAGCAAACTTATACGGACTCGAGCTCAATAAACTGCGGGCAGTCACATACATTTACATTTATACATACATATTTTTGGGAATAATAATGTAGTAAACAGTTTAATGAAAAGTATAAGAAACAAGATGCTAAATACTGCATCTATAATTCAAAAATACTATTAATTGTAAAATAAAAAAGAATAAGAACTATATTCATGTATGCTTTGCTTGATAATAATTGAAATAGGATAGCAAAAGTTAAAGCTTATTTTTGATTTATTTATATATCTTAACTAAAAGCACATAGTCTTTTAAGTTTAAAATTTTTTAAAGTAAGCTCTCGAGTTGTGTATTTTCGACTAACAGAGCAGTTTGAGCAAGAATCAGTAATACGTATTTGCATAATTATTGCCGAGTTTCACGAACTAGAGATAGCGAAGCCAGTCATGTAAATTCAATAAGCTTGTTGCGCTACGCGTTTAAACCAGATCTGATATAAATAATCTTTTAGATTAAAATTATTTGAATTATAAGATACTGTAAGTTTGTTTCTAATTATTGTCGTATACATATGCATTTGCATATATATATGATCATCACTTTTACTAAAGAGATAAATATAAATGAGTATAATTTACATAGTGTTCTTAGAACGGAAAATAAATTTGAAAAGTAAAATGTTCAGACATAACTATGGATATGCGTTTGTTATATAATTTTATTTTATTTTATTATATCTTTATCGACATTTTTTTTAAATAGCAATGATAAATAGCTCTATGATTGAATTGAACTCATCGATTCCTATTTTTGTGCATAAAAATATGATCACTTTTTGTTCAATTTTTTTTAGTCTGAATAAATCCATTCAAATTTGAATTTAAAAATATATTAATACAAACCAGTGCATTTTGACGTGATCATATGTTGCATTTATTAATAATTACTAATTAAATGTATATATTTTGTGTACGACTTTCGCGCATGCCATCTGAAATTATCGCGGAATGCACCTCGATTGCGCGTCGAACTTTTAGGCGAAAATCGACGAGGAGTATCAGCAACAAAAAACATTAGAGAAACCGGACATGGGTGAATCGCGAGTGCGTACAAGTAGTTCCTCATCGTTGATAGTGCACAAGGAAGAAACGATTTTGGTGACAGTGCCACCAGCGCCCGCGGATAAGCTGCCATTAATCGTCGGCGGAGAGGATAAGGACCATATCGCCAGGCAACGAAGGGACAAAGTGAGAGAGGTGAGTTTCTTTCAGTTTAGAGAATATTTGCGAATGGTAAACCATAAAATATATATTTGCGAATAAATAACGACAAATATAAAGATGATTTATTAACCACATATAACTTGAAGCGCTGTGATGTATATCGAATTTTAATTAAATTTTTCTCAATAACATACTTAAATGAAAATCTACATTTTTTTAATACTTATTATAGAAGATCATTTCTCTGAAGAAATGAAAGAGAGAATTTCTATGATTATTCTCATATTCGCTTGCCAATGTATTAATTTTTACCTTTACGAATAAACACTTATTTATTTTAATATTAAATTAAAATTATTTATATTTGTTTTAATATAAAATTATATTTTTATAAATTATAAGAATTTCTTTCTTTATTTTAAAATATATTCATTAAGACATAAAATATTAATATCACACACACATTCGTTATATTTATGATACAATTTTATTTTATTAAACAATTAAACGAGTAGTAATTTAAATATTTTGTTAAAAGAGAATTAGGATTTAAATTGATTAATTGCATTCTAGCATATATGTTGAGGAAGAGAGAAAAAACTCGAATTAAATTCGATATAATCGAAATAATCGGAAAAAGATTATGATCTTAGCGATATTTTAAATTCGCTAAATGTGAAAACGTATTTCTCGTACCAAAATCGCCTTTGCGCGTTATTTTGAATGAGGAGTTCCCGTTTATTGCGATTTTATAGAAGTCGACATTGCCAAAACTCGACTATTCAAATCGCATCTTTTCATATAGCTCGCGAAAAATCCCGTGTCGTCTGGCGCATCACCCAAGAAATGTTGTCATTTCCACGTAAACGCGGGAAGTGAGAGGAGCGACTTTTTCGCGATGTGCGGTAGTTTTGCTTACGCCGATCTACGTCGTGTTTCGCAAAATAATGAACCGGGATTTTTAAATTGACCCCGAGAAGTTCAATCTCCTGGCACAATGCGCCACTCTACTCTCTGCATGCAAATTGCTTCTATAAAAACTATAGGATCATAACGACTTGGTTCGTAAAAAAAGTACCTTTCCACGTTAACTTGCAGATTTTATATATACTGTATACGTGTTGGGAACAATGAGGAGTTGCAGAACACATCGTCTTGTGTCTCGAAATTCCTCACTAGCGAGGGACAAAGCTCGCAAAAGCTGTTACTCCAAAAAAAAATGCTGAGAATTCACACACCAGTTACATCAGCGAATCGTGGTTCGACATGTATTTGCAAGATCGCAAGCCATTGCCAATCAATTATAATCCTTTCTTAGTCTTCGTGCCAGAATCCAAACCAAAGTATGATGCGCAATTGGTGAAGGCGACAAATCTTGTCGTATCATCGATGAGATTCTTAAAATCGCTCAAGAATAATGTTCTAGAACCAGAGGTGTTTCATATGAAACCTGAGAAGTCAGATACCGAGTTATTTCGCAACGTCACAAGATTGCATGATCCCATCTCGCTTTAGTTAGTATGGCGCTTATCTATTTAAGGTATGAATAAATTAGACGTTTTGTGCGAAACATTCTAAGATAATTAAATTGATAGAAATTTGTTTAAAACAAATTTAACACGACAATTTTTTATTATAGGCTATTCCTTTAGATATGTTTTAATACAAGAATTTGTTCAATTTAATACAACTAGAATACCGGAGTTAGGAAAAAATAGAATCTTTCATAATCTCTCAGCCAAACACCTGGTCGTACTGAGGAAAGGTCATTTTTATGCGTTCAACGTTTTGGATGCAAATGACTCCATTCGTAGCCCTAAAGAGATAGCTGCGTGCTAAAAGCCATTTTGGAAGACGATAGGCCAGCAAATAGATATCCCGTGGGCATTCTTACGTCGTCAGAAAGGGACTAGTGGGCACGGGCACGCGGCTCAAATATGTACATTAATTTATGCAAAAGCGAGCGCTATATAACGCACTCAAAATATGAAACAAAAATTACGTTGCTCTCTAATATTGATAAAAACTATGGCCTATTGCAACTTTTATATATAATTTTTGCCATTATGCTTCAAAAAAAGTAGAATGATGTGTCCAAAATGATATAACAGACGATATTCACAGATACAGAATGGATGTTAAGTCATCTAGTAGAATCGCACGAATATAATTACAGACATGCAATAATATACCAAATTCACACATTGGTATTTGGAAAATTCTTCTCTTTCTTTCACAATGATTTTATAGATATGCAGTCATTCCTCTAGAATCTTCTTTACTGGTGACTAAATGTGGAATGGAACATTGTGATCCCGATAACACACTCCATAGCTTATTCTCTTGTAATTTATATTTTTTCGCCCATCTTCACTCCGGATGTCTGAAAAGAAAATTTGTAAACATAAGTATAGTATATATTCGCTATAGACACGTTTAGTCACATATTATTTTGACCATTTCTCATTACATACTACTTTCATGACACGTCTTAACTTACCATATAAATACCAACGATTAAACCAAAGAGGCCTATAGCTGAACCAAAGATCTCGACTATAAGAATCTTTACGAAAAGGGCAGAGTTGGCCGCGTCGGCGAGAGCAGCGCCGGAGCCAACGATGCCGACTGTTATGCCACAGAAAAGATTGACGAGGCCAACGGCTAAACCAGCACCGAACATTAAGTACCCAGAGAACCAGTTTTGATATCTGAGTTCTTCGTTGTCGAAAACTGTCTCATAATCAAATTTCTCGAGCATTCCAGATAGAACAATGGCAGTGATCAGGCCATAGACAGCTACAGCCTCGCAAAATATCACAGAAATCAAATTCTTTGTCTTGATTCTAGGAGCTTTCACGCCACCACCAACAATAGACACTCCTGTTGTATAGATACCTCTGAAAAAGACAAATACCTAAATAAGAAATTTTGGCGTAACACGAGTTGAGCCTATTTGAAACTATAATATAAATACATTTAACTTACAATGCCGCGCCTACTACAGACAGAGCTACCGACAGACCTATACCTAATGTGCACCACATATATGGAGAAGTATTCGTCAAGAACCTAAATTAGAAAACAAACATTAGGATCTCTTTACGCCGAGAATTCAATAAGATAATTAAGAAACCACTGATACAAGACAAATGTATGAACATACCATCCAATGCTAATCTGCTCTCCCTTGCCAGTAAATACATAATACAAAACTGCAACATATACGAAATATATAATATATTAAATATATGCGTATAATATAGAAAAAGATAAAATAAAAAAAGAAATAATAGATAAGCTTGACACGAGATTGCTCGCAACGCGATGACATCATACATAGATAATTTGGCAAAAGATCACGCATGAAAGGCTCTATATAACGACGATACATTTCTTTGTTTATTAATTTATCATAATATACATGTAAAGCATACCTAAAATAAGGATCGTTGCCGAAGCGGTGATCGCGAATGTGTTACCCAACATGTATCTCATCGTTGCGATAGTATAAGTCTCGCCGTTCACGCAATACGATATACGCAAAATCCCACGGTCTTCGAACACGGTCGAAACTCCGGGGAGAAACCAAAGTAGCCCGGTAGTTCTTTCGTTTTTTGTCTTAACGAATCTTCGATCTCTACATCGAGAAGCTCACGAGAAAATCACGCACACCTGTCACCGTCATGTGACGACTGCTCCGGATTCTAGTAACCGTTGGTGATTTTTTTTCGCTATCGAGGGGAAAAGGGAGTCACGCGCAGCGAAAATGCGATAATCTTAAGTCTGTTCTTTTTAACTGGTAATTGAAATTTGAGGCATTTTATGGAACCCGAGGATCTCTACCCGAAACGAGACGGACGTATATTCGTTGGGCATTGGAAAGATGATAAAGAGCGAAGAGATTACTTGAGTGCAGAAAGTGCAAGTAAAACGATCTGATGTTCAGATTGCCTAAACTCCAATTAATTTAATCGACGATTATAACTCGACCAATAAAATCGCGGCAAAATTTCTAATTATATAATTTATTCTCAACCTCTTTAATCTTTCTTTTACGTATTAGATAATAAGATTAATAATAATAATAATTCGTGAAAGACGTTCTAACAGCGATTTCAATTAAACTCCCATCAATTTAATCGATGATTAATTTAACCGACTGAATTGCTTAAAGTAAAAATTTTAAATTATATAAATTGCTGTTCCAGATCTTTTTTCCATATATTAAACGATAAAAAATTAATATTTTTGTTCATGTTAACAAAAAAGTACAAGTATCAATTGATAAGTTAATCAGAGTTTGGTCGAAGTTATCTTAAAAACACTCTTCCATTAAAAACGCGATCATTCA